GATCCGCTGCCTCCAGCAGCCCCCAACAGTGAACGGTCAGCCCCGTCGATCGTTGTTCGTTCCACCCCATCACCAAACCCCGTCTCCCCCGTTGTCCGTGCTAGATCTGTGTGAAAACGGCGAAGGAATTGAGAAAAACGTGAAGAATAAGCAAAACAGACTCCACCACACCCTGGTGTGGTGTCTGCCATACCGGTGGTAGAATCTGTCCTGTTTGCCATGGGTTTGGTGTCTATCACACATTGGTATGACAGAATCTGTCCTTTTTGTCATGTGTATGGTGTGTGCCACACCAGGGTATGTCAGACTCGTTTTTAGAATCCTAATCTATTTGGGATTGTGTTTTGTTATAAATAGAACCACGTTTTTAGGGTTACAAAAGGAGAGAATTGGCATTGTTTTGAGCACTTTGAGAGGGAGATATTGTGAGGGAGTTAAGAGCTTTGGTTAGAGTTATATTTGAGTGATTTTGTGAGTTACAACCCGTTGTATTTCTCCTCCATAGAGTTAAATCTCCACACCCTCTCCCTGTGGACGTAGGCAATTGCCGAACCACGCAAATTCATGTGTTTATGTGTGGTTTTGATCGTTATTTTGTGAATTGCACTCGTGTTTGGTTTTGGTTTTCTTCTCTCATCGCTCACCGACTCGTTTGGTTGTCGAGCACGCATCTGCACGGCGCGCAACAAGTGGCATCAGAGGTCAGATTTCAGATCTAAGGTTTTGGATTTGGTGGAGGAAGATTCAGTTGGAAGCTTGGTTCTTGGAGTTCTAGGCTTTGGTGGAGTTAGGGTTCGAAGTTACCAGTTTACTAGTGACTTGTATCGAGAAAAATTTATTTAATAATGTAAATAATAATGCGATTACATACTGTTTTTTTATTAATTTTGTCAAACTGCTAAGAATTAGAATTTTATCTTCCAAAATTGGCTTTATGGAGTTTCCAAACACGATAGTTAGGGGCTGTTTGGTTCCGGTTTTTGGAAGGGGAAAGCTGCCAAAATGTCAGCTTTTTGACAACTTTCCCCCAAAATCACCTCTATAAGAGACGATTTTGGGGAAAAGCTGCCAAAAATCTGACATTTTTGATAGCTTTCCTCCCTTTTACCGATCAAAAAAACCGATCCAAAATTATTTGACATGAACAGCATTCACAAATGTTAGGGTTTCTTCGATATTAGTCCCCCACATTTCACATTTTGATATTAATTCCTAAAATTTTCATATTTTGAAAGTAGTCCTCCAAAAAGATTGAAGTTTTTTGAAATGAGTCTCTCAAATCTTCATGTTTTGAAATTAGTCCCCTAAATCTTTTAAGTATTTTGAATTGGTCCATCTAGTATGCATAAGGTTGGAATCTTTGGGGGATTAATTTCAAAATACTTTAAGTGTTTTGAATTAGTCCATCTAGTATGCATAAGGTTGGAATCTCTGGGGGATTAGTTTCGAAATACTTCATATGTTGGGGTGTGACTGATTTCAAATATGAAGATTTGAGTGACTAATTCAATAAACTTTTAGATTCGGAGGACTAATTTTCAAATCTGAAGATTTTGGGGACTATAATACAAAATACGTAAGCTTTAATTAGGGACTGATATAAATACAGAAAAAAAAACACTAAAGATTTAGAGTTATTTGCAATATTTGCCGCCACGTGTACTTATTCTTCGTAATTTTCCTTCCGTGTGAGGCCATCCTTTTGTTTAGAAATGAGACACCGTTCTGACCACGCTGGAAGCCAACACAGCTTTCTTTACATGTGCGCGTCATTTGAAAAACTAGTCCAATGTTTTGGCGGGAGAAGCCACAATGGAAGCAACATAGGAATGCAAGGGTATGTTTGACAATTTCAAAATAGAATTGGGCTTAAGCTATTTTTTACTTAACTATGCTAGGGTTGGTCCACAAGAAAACCAGCTCAAACGCTATAACTTGAACTAAAGAAGAGTAGTTCGCTTTCGGCTTAATTGTTGCCAAACAAAAAACTAGCTTTTTGCTCAGAATTGTGCCCGCTAAAACTAGTTTAGTAGAGGTACCAAACATAGCCTAAGGTTGAGAGACCCCATCATTTCTCCCAAAAAAATATAAAGCTGAGAATAATAGATTTTCTCTAAGTTATTGTCCATTCTTTAACAGTAAAGTATCAGCCTTGATCTCTTGGATAACACTACTGAGATATGCTAGAATATAAAAATATACTACAAGGTCAGTTTCTCAAAACTCAAGTCAGAATAATCCTAACCTAGTTTTCAAAGAATCTGGCTTTCTTTTGGTTTAGGGTCTGTTCGGTTATTTCCTAAAAACCAAGAAATGGAAATGGAAAAGGTGAAAATCTCAAAAAGTACTATTTCCTCCATTTCCATCCCTAAAACTCACCCACAACATCCAATAAAATATTATTTTCATCCAACAACTCATCCACATCATCTAATAAAATATTATTTTCATCTAACCACTCATCCATCACATCTAATAAAATATTATTTTCATCTAACAACTCTTTCATCACATCTAATAAAATATTATTTTCATCCAAACATCACTCAACTCATATCTTCTAATCATTTCAAATCACTCATATCATCCAATAAAATATTATAACAATTCACATCATCTCATTAACATTTCATTTCGTTGTTTTCATCCCAAAAAGTTATGAAAACACTTTTCTTAAGTGTGGGTCACATCACCCAATACTACAATGACAACTCATCTCATCTCATTTCATTTCTTATTTTTAAGAATGAACCAAACAAAAGAAATCAACAAACTACAGGAAATAGGTTTCTTATAATTCATTTCCTTATTTTTTCCGCCAACCAAACAACATCAAAACTAGTTTTCTTAAAAAATCACTCACATCATCCAATAATAATGTGACAACTAACATCATTTCATCTCCATTTCTTTGATTTCCTTCTTTTTTTAGCAAACCAAACACTCCCAAAACAATTCTTCTTAGAAATAGTTTTCTATTTCTTTGATTTCCCATTTTTTTAAGGCAAACGAACAGACCCTTAAGGGAAGAGAGGATTAAAAAAATTAATTTAAGCAGTCTTTTTTGGCTTAGCAAGATTTTTACCAACTCCTGCCTAATTTTTGCTAATAATTTTTTTTGACCAAGATCAAACATGGTCTTATTTTGAGAAATTCCCAAATAGACCTTAAGTTTATAACCACCCATGTTTCACCTCAACTGTAGAGTTTTAGTATTGTGACAAAGATATTGGAATGAAGTCTGAGCCAATCCATATTTGAGTCTTCCCGCTTGCTACCCATAAATTTAAAACAGTTTTTAAAAAAATTGATAATGCCATATGAGTCTAGGTTTCTGTCCATAGAAGAGATGCTCAATCTACAAAGCCATGTTAGAATATGAAACTATGCTTTTCAATTCTCGCTAGAACTTCAACGTTTTGATACACAGTGGAAGAGACTTGGATAACTTATATTAATTAAGTAGTTTGTAAATTATTTATTAATTTTTTTTTTAGGAAAAAAAAAATCTCAAAACCACTGACAATAAAAAGTGAGCTAGCTAGTCTCCTCCAATCTGATTAGGAAAAGTCATAAAGACTTTTGAGCCACATGTACGTTGCAATCATGGATCCATCGGGGGCCCACTTGCTCTCTCGGTCTCTCCCTCTCCTCACGTGGTTCAGGCGCGCATGGCCCCCCAACCCCCCACATCTTTATAAGACTGAGAAATCTCAGCTAGTTCTCCCAGAGAACCGGACACAATCATGCAGGCCGAGAGGGCCCATGGATCCGTAGCCCACGTCGTGCAATTTTCTTAAGCTCACCGCCGGTACTTAAGCTGGATATTCAGCATCCAAGTCTGCGGCGGAGATTAGAAATAATGAACAAACGGTACTTTATAAGAGAGGAGAGAGATAGAGAGAAATAAATTATACACGGAAATTAATGCAAATCAGGAGGGCTCATGAGCTATTCATTTCTCTTTATCTCTCTCCTCCCTTATAGAGTGTCCATGAGCACTCTATAGAAAAACCGATGAACAAAGCAGAAGCAATTCTTCAGGTCGTAACAGCAAATGCTGACCAAGGATATGGTTGCAAGCCAAAAATCTATTGTTTCGCATCATTATGTGTTCTCGTTCTTTCCCATGAGACTATGAGAGGGTTAGAATCTATGAGAACCCTCCCTTTCTTATCATAATTTTATATAAGGAAAATAGCAAATCCTACGACTTCAGCAACTAATCAATTATTGGATTTAGATTTGAAAATATATGTACCTAGGTAAAAATCCAAACATCTAAATGATGGATTTGAAATCGAATTTCTGCAATAAATTAAACACAATAAGTGAATATTTTCCGGATGCAACATCTGCTGTATTTACAACTGCGCTGGCTTAGATAAATATAATCATTCCATTTAGGGTAAGATCAAGCATAATTCACAGTCCATTGCAAATGTATGTAACAAACTTTTAGTAAGGAATTGACAGTAAATAATGTGCACGTTGGTTAAAGAACAGCTATCAACCACAGTCAAGGGCTACAGCCGTATTAATCACCCTCATAATCATCAATTGACTTTTAAACGCCACCCGAGCAAACAAACCTCACACCTTCGGGCCCCACCCCGCTCCGTCACGTTGACACGTAGGTCCGTGAGCGGGTGCGGGTGAGCGTAAGCCTACACTTTCCCGCTTTAACCGCGGTTGTTAATGCGGGAAAACCCAACGGTAAACCCAACACTAATCGCGGCTTCGAATTTAATTAATGGAGAAAAGAGGAAGGCGGTGAAGCTACCTCCCCCTGGCCTCTCATTTCTCGGGGGCGGTGACCGGATCCGGCTCCCGAGGGCGAAGACTCAGAGAGAGGTTTTTAAAATAAAAGCTTTTACCTACTTTCGGAGCGTAGGGAGTGGGAGTTTCTTTCTTTATTCGATTTTTTCTCTCTTCGTTTTTTTTGGGGTACTGAAAAAATAAATTCCCGCCCTTCGCGCTTCTTGAATTCAATCTAGAGAGCGAGAGAGCGGGGGAGAGAGAGAGAGAGAGAGAGGAGTTCCGATGAAATGGGGACGCCGGAGCGGAGCAAGATCGTAGGGGTGGCGGCGCTTTCGAAGTTCGAGGTTCGATCTGTTCGCCTTTCCTTTTCTAGGGTTTCGATGGGGGTTTTATTCTCGGAAATTTGGGGGATTTTGTTGTTTTTGTGGTCTCATTTGTTCGGATCGGAGGATTTGGTTGGTTGAGAATCCTAGAAGCTTGGAATTTTTTTTTCCACTGGGAATCGATCGAATTTGGGGATTTTTTCTGGTGGGTTTTAGTTTTATTGTTAATTTGAAGTATTTTGTAAGCTTCATTGTGCTGTGGTTGTTAGAGAATAGGGTTTTTTTTTTGTCACGCTTAGTGCGAATTTGTTATGGAAAAAAAGGGTTTATGGTTTAATTGGAAGTACCAGCTACTGTTTCCTTTATTAGATCATTATTTATCTTAGTTGTTTGATCGCGCTAAGTTCTTTTTCCCTGTTCGCTATCAATGTGTTTTTTTGGTGATATATCTTCATTAAAATGTCTATTTGTTCATGGCATAAGTTCTGTATTCCTTATGCTGGATTCATATTTGCTGGTATCATATTTTTTTTAATTGTATCACATTATTTTGATCGCCAAATGCATGCCTTTTGAGATGAAACGGAGTGTGCCTAATTTTGTCAACCTGAAGTTAGCACATGTGATGTAGAATTTTGAAGTGTTATATTGACTCTCTGGCTTTCTTCTATTTTAGATACTTTGGCTCAAGTGTTTGATTCTTGTTCTATTCCTCTTTTAGCAAAATGAACGCAAAGCAAACAGAGGTCATTTCTACACATTATTGCCCTGGAAATCCACATAGATGTTCATCCATTGCACACATAGTTGTTTGTGAATTGTATGTAAGGTCCTCCTTTAAGATTAACTGATTAAGGAATGGTAAATACTGGGCATTTCCGTATTTGCTGACGTCAAAAGTGTGGATATTGCTTCCTCTCTCATATGATAAAGTGCTTTATTGCAATATGCAGGTGATGAGTAGCGTAAGGCTAGTTTTAATGTGGCATACCTTAACAATTATTATTTGATGCAGGATTCCCCAACTTTCAACTTTATCGATGATCTATCTCCTATCCAGCCTGTTAAGTCAGCACATGGAGTACAAGTGTTCCATTCTTTGAGTTTTGCTTCAATTTCTTCAGTGTTTACTTCGCCACAAGTCAGTTCACAGAAGGAATCTAGATTTAGGTAATAATCTCTTTCATAATCCAGAGATTATTAGTTTTAGTCTCACTCTATGGAAATTCCATCTTACCTTTATCTTTCTTCAGGTATCCTTGTTCAGGCTCATCAAAACTTGGGAGTTCAGCTGAAAATTTGGATCAAAACAATCTATACACAGGAACATCAGATTATATTAACCTTGCTGTTGCTCGAGAGAAATGCAATACGATATGCTCACTGAATGAAGCTAATGTTGACCCACCTGAGCAGTGTACAACCCGACCTAATGATGTGCCCCAGGCCGCCATTCAGTATGACCGTGACAGTCCCAAGCATAATACAGTAGCTGGTTGTGGTGTCAAAACAGAAGTTAAGTTAGATAATGGTGAAGCTCTGGTTGAACTAGCTCATGTTGCTCATGATGGTGTTGAAAAGAGAAAAGTTTTGTTTGCTACTGAGATTGAGCTTAGGGACGAACATCAGTCAACACAAGATGAGGAAGAAGTGGCTGCATGTGACTGGGAAAATTTAATTTCTGTAGATACCAATGATCTGCTGGTTTTTGATTCTTCAACTGACTCGGAGGCTTGCAAAGATCAGGAAGAAGATTTTGGGGATGATGATGCTACATTAATGTCTTCTTTGAAGCCTGTAGATAGTGTTGATCCTTACTTTCGAAATGCTGTGCAGTATCCTCAAGAAGGAAATGATGAACATGCCATTGAGGAACATGGAACAGATCACACTCCCCAAATACTCTCAGGCACCTTTCAGAATCAAGTTTTGTTGAGTGATGAAGATCACGAAACTGAAAAAGAAACTGGCAATTGTATCTCTGCTGACTGCAAGGTAACTTGAAGTGACGGTGCTATACCAAGTCCTCTAACAATCTCTTGTCCAAGTGTCTTCAATATCTAAAATTGTAACATTATTTCAAAATTTAAACTATCTATTGCTTTTATTTATTTCTCTTTCTCTCAATGCATCAACCATCTCTAAGAGACTGTTTCATGTTGGCCTTCAGCCTATTTGGAGTTGAATGTTAAAGATATAGCTTGATGCATTCTGCTTAAGTTAATGGGAATACCTATCTGACAGAAGCATTTACCTAATGCTTAATTTGGGCTTAAACCTCTTCATTGCCAGTTCAAAATGTCAATTTACTTTTATGCATTCTGAGCGAGTCACCTTGTTGTAAAAGATGTTTCATTGGGTCTTAAGCCTTGCGAGACGGAATATTACAGATTGCCTGATGCCCTTTGTTGACCCTCAACTCATTGGCTTAATCTAACAGGAATATTTAGCTACCAGCCTACCAATAAGAATTGCTTCTGATCCATAAATTGCAGATGCAAAAGATGTTGAGGGGACTGGTGCTCAGTCGTTTAGATTCATGTTTCTTCTTGATTTTTGATAGTTATGTTTTCTGATTTTAAGAGGGAACATGCTGAATGAGAAGCATGCATAACCAACATCTCTTTTGTCTAGGAATATCTAGAACCCCCCCCCCCCCCCCCCCCCACACACACACACCCCAAAAAAATCACCAAAAAAAAAAAAACAGCACGCCGCCCACTACCCGCCGGAGAAAAGTACCCTATATCTTGATATCACTCGCAGGCCACGATTCAGTGACTCATGTTTTTTGGTAAAGAAGTGTTAATCCTGAACAGTTTTGGAGCATTAGATTTTCATGAGTTTCTGAGTTCAAACCTCATTCTTGGCAGGTTAAAATGTCTTTGCTCACAAGAAACTCACGTTCATATCCACGGCCTTTCCACATGATCTGAAGGGCCATGCATGGAAGATTAAGTTTGGTTTATGTACATTGTTAGCCGACAACCCAGAAAAATGAGTTTTATTTCCTGGCAATAATTTACATCTCGAAATTTTTTATTAAAATCTGCAGTAATGGTTTTGTATTATACGTATTGCCTTTAGCACTTGTTATTTACAGCTTAAGCTTCAAACTTTTTGTGTGTGTGCAGGTTGAGTCTCAGCAACAACGCGGCATGAGAAGACGGTGTCTGACTTTTGAGTTAGCTGGAGGTTCAAAAAAGAACTCAACCATTAATTCAAACCTTCATCCTTCAGTTTTATTGCCATCCAGCAGAAAATGCACTGCAGATAATAAAAATTTAATTTCGTTGAAGCCAGGAAGTAGTTCATTGTCACGTGCATTACCCAGTATTGGGTTGCATTTAAACACTTTGAGAACAATCCCAACTGATAGAATGGTTACCAAGGGTACTCCTGCTTTGGGTAAGCGATTCATTAGTATGTCATGCTCTATTAACCCATATCCTCCAGTAACAGTTGAACAGAGTGCTGTGGAGAAGTCATTGGATGTTGTAATGGACAAACATCCTACTGGAAAGGAAGTTCTAAATCATGATGTCTCACATGATGATGCTTCCAAAGCACCTGAGTTTGACGATAGCAATAATTTAACTCAGAGGAGTCCTAAGAAGAGAAAGTGAGTTATCACATCCTATTTCTTGTCTTAATTCTCTTCAATTTAATACAACATCTCGATGGGTGTATACAGGTGTAAGTCAGAAAGTGATGGTGATGGTGATGCTTGCAAGCGTTGTAATTGTAAAAAGTCAAAATGTTTAAAGCTGTAAGTTTCTTTCAACATAATTACTTTTCTACAAATGCATTGATGAAAATATGCTAATCATTCAAGAAAGTTGTATTTTTCTTAAAGCATGTTTGGCAACTTACTTATAAGTAAGCTATTTTACTTGTAAGTACTTTTCAACTTATAAGGTGCTGAGAGTTTACTTTTTCATTTATTTCTAACATATATTATAAGTAGCGGAAAAATAAGTTGGGATTCTCCAACTTGTTTTCTACCTACTTCGAAGGAGTTTTCCTTATTTAGGCGAAAAGCCCAAAATACCCTTGGACCCCCTTTATCAATCTACAAAAGTAAACTCTCCGCACCTTATAATTAATTAATAAATATAAGAAATTTATTAAATAGTGGCACTATTAATTAATTAATAATTTCATTAAAATATTATTTATTAATAAGAAATTATAATTAATTAATATCATTATTATTTAATTAATTTATGAAATAATAATTTACTTAATTACTTAATAAATTTTATTAAATGAGTATTTAAATAATAAGAAATTAATTAGATAATAAGAAATTAATTTAATAGTGCCAATATTAGTAATTCATAGCCATAAATAATGTGATATATAAAATATATTTTAACTAAATAGTTTCTTATTATAAATGAAATTTGTTATTAATTAACTAGCTAATTAATAAATTAATTTACAAATTACTAAATTAATTTACTAGTAAGTACTATGATATTGATAAGTTATATTTTATTGTTAAAAAGAAATAGTTTTCTTATGAATTTTTTAATCAACTATTAATTAAATTTATTAATTATTAGTAATTACTATTTAAATATGTATTTACATTTTTTTACTTTTAATAATAAGTAATAATAATAATTATTAATTATTTACTTAGTTCATAAATATCTTTATTTTTAATTATTATTTAATTAGTATGAAATTATTTAATTAATATTAATATTAGTAAGTAATAATCAAAATTAATGTAATATATAAAAATATTTTATTTATATATATTAATTGTTATGAATAATTAATTTTTAACTTACTAATTAATAATTTTACTAATAATAGCTTTTAACATAAAATAATTAAATAGTTCAAATGTTGATGATTAATGTAAAAATAATTAATTTTATTATTTACTTAGTTAATTAGTTAATAAATTTACTAGTCGTAATTGTCTGCCTAATATATAATTGATTAGTTAGTTTCAACATGAGATTCAACAAGATGTCCTCTTTGGTCATTTGAAAAAACTACCACAAACTTATAAGTTATTGGTTTACTAAACATATAACTGTACTTATATTCCTATAAGGTAAGAGTTTTACCTTATTTTTTAACCTCCTTATCAGGAGTTTTCAAAACATGTAATAAGTAATAAGGTTTCAAAAAATAAGCAGCTACCAAACATTCATTTATTCTGAGAAAATAACTAGATGAACTTCTCCTCCCCTAACGACATTGGCAATTGTATTCCTGGTTGTATAGCCTAAAATTCATGGAAATTCCACCTGCGTATAAGCTTCAAAACCATTTGGCTGTTTATTGTCTACTTATTTTGTCATGCTGATACCATCTGCAGTTATTGTGAGTGTTTTGCTGCTGGAATCTATTGTGTTGAGCCTTGTGCTTGCATAGGATGTCTCAACAAGCCAATCCATGAGGAAACAGTTCTGGCTACTCGCAAACAAATAGAATCTCGCAATCCACTTGCATTTGCTCCTAAAGTAATTCGAGCCTCTAAACCTGTTCAAGATATGGGGGTAAGTGTCTCAGCATTAACCTGCTCTTTAACCATATTATTTTATCAGCTGCTCAGCAAATTTGCCCCTTTTTTAATCCTCTAGGAAGAAACAAACAAAACTCCTGCTTCGGCCAGGCATAAGAGAGGATGTAACTGTAAGAAATCAAATTGCCTAAAGAAATACTGTGAATGTTTTCAGGTTTGTGTCTTGGCTTATTTAACTTCTTCCTTTTGTCATTAATCTGATATGTCATCTGACTTCTCTTTGAAGGGTGGTGTTGGATGCTCTCCAAGTTGCAGATGTGAGGGGTGTAGAAATACATTTGGAAGAAAAGATGGTGAGTTTTGTTACAAGAGGCCATTTATTGCTTTCCATGATGGGTGTTTAGTTAACAATTCACCTTCAGAATGGTTTATTTGTGAAGTTTATTGTGTATTTTCTACTCACTAATAATCATCAACATTTATAAATGTTTTTTCTTGCTTTTGTCATCTAGCGTTAATTTTATATATACTTATGCAGTAAAATCGGTTAATCTGTTCTATATCGATTATGTCTTTTGAAGTTGGGGTCTTAAGATGATCATTGGTGTCAGTTCTTTTCTTCGCGTATTTAACTTAAGCACATTCATGCTTGTACCGGGTTAACTCTAATATATATAACCATACTCATTTTCTCCTTGAATCGCAGTCAATTTGGACCAGTTTTCCCACTATGTGTGGATTACGCTGATAGATGAGTGAATCAAATTGGTATTTACCATTTCCAAGTCATGGGTGGAGCATTCTGATCCTGTGAATCATCAGAATGCTCTTAGTATAGTTTAAGTTTTATTTTCTTCATTAAGGCAGGTGTAAAAAATATTAAAATTCTTTCGTGTAAATTAAATGCTTTATTTGTCTGTTTTTCTGTATAAAAATATTAAAATCCTTTCATGTAAATTAAATTACTTACGTAAAGGGATATATTCTCTATATATCTTTAGCTATTACCTTATCTCTGTATAGTTATTGTCTCATGGCTTTTATGTGGCACATATTTTTAATATAGGCTTTGATGATGCTGAACATGCCAAAGAACTAACTGTCAGTGGTGAGAAGCAACAGAGCAATCTGCAGGAGGACCAGAATGATCATCAATCACCAGGAGGCACATTACCAATAACACCATCTTCTGAAATTTTCAGGTCACACCAAAGTTTATCATTCTTAAAATTTTCTCATTTGGTAAGCTTTACTAAAGCATAATTTTTTTTTTCCTACAGACCCTTTGTTAAACCATCTTTACATTCAAACGGGAAGCCCCCTCGATCTTCTACTCTTTCCATTGGATACTCAACATTACAACCTCTTAGAAAATGCGAATTCCCCCTCCAAAAAACTGCAAATCATTTTAACCCCCCTGCTGAGGGTGATACTCCTGAGATCCTAAGGGATGATGCGTCATGTAATAATGGTGTGAAGACTATCTCGCCAAATGGAAAGAGGGTTTCGCCTCCACATAAAGCACTTGGATTATCTTCAAAAAGTAAGGGAGGAAGGAAATTGATACTGAAATCAATTCCTTCATTCCCATCCCTCAATGGAGATGAGACCAGTGAACACTGAGCAGTTCATTCCAGCAATAATCATGTTTGGCCGAGCTGAAGAAGTTTGCTGTTACTGTGTGACGTAGTATTAATGTACGGCTTGTGGTAGTTATTAGCTGTTGAGGTATGTTTATATGCATAGTGTTGTATAATAAGTAGTACTTTTTATGTAACTGATTTGTTGTACATTTTTTCTTAGTGTAAAATTTTAAAGGAGGTACTCATCTCCATGAGTTTTCCCACATATTTCTCTCCTTGTTATTTGGAAATTCACGTTGCTGTTTTCCCAGTTTTGTGAATGCATTTTGTATGAGTTTATTAAAGTGGTATCGGTAAAGAGGATCATGTTTAAACGCTATAAGTTCAAATTGGCTTGGTTTAAATTTCTGTATTAAACGTTAGTGGGTTAAAATTTGTAGCAGAAATTGGAACGAATTGAAGTCTCGTACTCTAAGAAGTGAACTTGATTAAGCTTTACTTCTCCTTGAAATGCCTGGAAAACTTTGGCAGAATTCACATTTGCAAGACTGGTCAACTGTTAGATCGATCTTTTTAAGTCAACTATATGCCTCTTTTCTGCGTGTCTTGTTCTAATTCAAGAAAATTAAAGTCATGATCACAACAACAAGGTAATTACACAGAAACAATCTTTCATTTTTAATCTGTATATAAAACACCTTTAAAGTTAATTCTTGTTGTAATCAATCACATCTAAGTCTTTTTTTTTTTGTGCTAAAACCCAAAATTACCATTAAAAAACTCATCCAACGCACATGACTCATGTTGTATTCAGGTCTTATTAGGATACAATTCACGTACATTGAACTTGGATATTTTAAGCTTATTTTTGGAGTTTTAGTAAATATTTGATTGAGAGGTGGTTGACTGCAACGAAAAACCTAATTGAAAGGTGATTTTCGTATAATTATCCTATTTTTGCAGCGGTTTCTAAGGAAAAAACCCTAGAGTTGAGCCGCAAGTTTGCTGCTATACAGCGTAATATTTTCGTATCTGTTTCCTCAAAGATGACTTGCGCGATCTTATTTAAGGAGTGAGAAGATAAGAAATTGTAAGCTTGGAGAAGCAACAAGTTAGCAAATTGACATAACATCTTGTACAAGAATGAGAAACTTTGATGTAAGCTGGTTCACTCAAATGAACATAATTCCAGGCTACACGTTATTAGTGTGTTGTAATGTAGTTCCATTGTTTTATTTATTTTTGTACTAAACAACACGCTTTGAGTAAGTTGTTTGATTCCGATAATTGCTAAAAGAGCATCAAGTAATCACCGCTCATCTTTAACGACTACAGGATATAGCTGGAAAAGTCAAAAACATGCAAATACTCTTGCAATCCAACCGCTGACATCCATGCTGGATACTGTTAAAAATACATTACATTTCTATTTAGAAGCAATCGAATAGAGATTCGATGTCCATTTACATCTTCGGCAGAGCTAACATACAGGAAACGAAAGCAGTATTCTACGCAAAAATATATCACTCTTTCTCTGGAACCAGGATTGGACTTGTGACACAACAAACAGTACACGTTAGCTCAGGCTACTAACAAAGAGATGAAGCTGTAAAGCGCCAAAAAAAAATCACTCATACCTAGTATAAATTTTAAAAAGAAAGTGACGTGGATGTTACTAGTCACTCGAGTATTCATCCTCGCGATCTTCATGCTGTGTTACGAACTTCTCAATGAATCTTTTGCGCACACCCTCTATAACATCATCCTTGGATGAATCCCCACTTCGCCCATCATTTAGCACTGGATCTGACCCACAAAGCGCTAAAGCAACAGCTGAAACATAACGAAGTATCAGTATAAGTACAAAGCACTTTATTATCGCATGTGTCATCTTCTCAAGTACTAGTAAAAAAAAACAGATTTAAACAATCGTGTATATCCCTCACTCCCACAATTTGAAGCTTTCGACTGTTGCAAAGCGTCTATATTCAAATCCAGTCAAAGTGCTTTTATCATGGAACCAAAACAACACGAGTGACCAAAAATTTGTGCTAGAACATAAGAACACATCTGCAAGAACTTAAAAGTGATTGAATTCTTTTTTTAATTGAACTCAGACAGATTTCCTACACTGTCCTAATATGTAGGCGCTGACATGTCCTAAACTTGAGAACTCTTTGTCATAGATCACATATGTTACCAAGTTTTCTCAAATGTCTCTTTTACGAAAATTTAATAAATTGATCAATTGGAAAAAGGTGCACACACAATATGGAATCAATTATATCAATTGAAAACTTCTCTTTCTGTAACAAAGTATGCCACTCTGTCTTAAATCATGCCTATCCTATACTGGGTGTGTGTACTCAAAACACCCTTTATTCTTCCCTGTCATGTTCGCCACATATTTGTCTGAAAATGACTTACCAATTCCAACAGAGGAGTACTATGTCTTATAAATGTTCTTTTTTCTGCTGAAGATAAAAATTAGTGAAGATTAACATCAAACTTAATCCTCAGGTGGTAAAGGTGGTCTGTGGGTTGAGGAAGTCTAGAGCTCTAGGCTTAGTCCAGCTATGGCGGTATGGCCTTTATTCATAACAAACCAACATTTTAATTGAAATCGCATTTAGAAAGAAGTGCATGTTAGTATGAAAACAATGAATATCAAAGTTGACAAACCGGCATTAAGTAAAATCCAATTGGTCCAAGGTACATGGTTATGATGCTGGTATGCTGTTGGGGTTGCATTTTGCTGTGTCAGATAAAGAGAACCAATATGGTAGCTGAGAATAAATTTAAGAACACCTAGAGACGGGAGAACACCATAATTTCATAGTATATGAGTTTTGCCTGAATAAGTTTTATCATAAAAAAGCCTCATGATATTGATTAATGTGGGATCTCCATCTATTAGAATTAAAGGTCCCGTTTCGTATATACAGGATGCTCCTAGTTTATGTTACACGTGGTTGATGGTCAACGTAGCTATCAGACATAAATAGAGATAAAAATAGGGAATAAGAAAAACCAAAGGGATACAAGTGGATAACAAAAACAAGGCCTCAGCTTTCATCAATACAAAGTTTATTCATCATTCGCTCTTCCTTTTTTCCCACAATCAATTTCAATCTTCGTATACGCTATTACATGAAAAAGATCTTTATCTTCCACAAGAAGCACTATCATTCAACATACTAAGCTATGCAGACCGCATATAATCAATCTAAATGGTTCTTAACACGAACAAGAATGTCCATAATCAGCAACTTGGTGCAAAACAGTTACTATTATACAACACAGTTTGCACAATAGCTAACATATAACAAAAGAAAACCTAGGTGTAAGATAACAAAAGGGGAAAACTTACCTTCAGGTGTGCATTTCCGAGAACCAAAGTGACGCAACCCCACGTAAGTTGCTTTCACAGCACTGTTATTATACACCAAAATAGTAGGCAGGTTATGATCCGGATAGTTCGGAATGCAATCTGTGGAGATTATCTTGACAAATTTTGTTGCCGGGTATTTTTTTGCAAGCTCCTCCAAGCACTGTAAAAGTAGCTCACATTCCGGTATACTATCACAAAACAAAAAACAAATTCAAGAATAATTAACAATGTGAGAGACCATGTCAAAGATCATAGATAGCTAAAGAGCAAGATATGCAAAAATATAATTCACATAGTAGATGCACATACGCAAAGTTCTCTGAATCTCAACAACAATCGTCATAAGATTTCTACATGTACCCTATGGTTTCTACGACATTCGATGTCAGTGTTCATGAAAGTTGGCAAACACATACTTTTCCTACTTCTCCGTTCTAATTCCAACTAAAACAAGTATTCGTTACTCAGTAAGGATCACCCTCTTACTATGAATTATTGACATAACAAACTTAAAAAAGATCAAAATTTGAAATTACCCATCTTTGTACAGGAGCACAACAACCCAAACATCACCTGACGCCTGCGATACCTCCCTCACAAAATCCGAACCCGATATCGGCACCACCGATCCGAACCTCGCAACCCTCGCAGCCTCCCTCATCTCCGCCAACCTTTTCTTCCTTCAAAACCCAAAAAAATATCCCTAATTTGTCACAAACCTCAACTCAAGATCCAAACCCCAACCCCAAATTCTCACCTGTACTCTTCGAGGAACCGATCGTCGTCGAGATCGGGATCGTCCTCGAGGTCCTCGAGCTCGTCGGCGGTGCGATCGTCGATCCAAGACTTGGACTTTGGCTGGAGGTCGGGGTCGTCGGCGGGAGTGAAGGCTGGGGGCTTGAAAGGCGCGGGCTTTGGCGGGAGATTGCCGAGCTTTCGCTGGATATCGTCCCATTGAGTGCTGGCGCCCTCGACGTCCTTGTATACGAAGTGGTAATCCGCCATTGATCTCAAGATTGGATCTTGTTTCTCGCTTTCTCTTGCTCTGTTCTGTGATTTTCTTTCTATGTCCTTTTTTTTCCCCGATTTTTTTTTTGCTCGTGATTTTTTTTCCTAGTCCTTTTACGGTGAGGTGAAGCAGCTGTGAAATGTTGGGCCGCGAAATATTTAGGCCCATTACTTGATTGAATTCGCTCTCTGAAAAAGGGCCTGCTTTTATGGGCCGCCAACATTTAGGTGATTGTTTTATGTTCCCCAAAGTAAGGATCTGATTAAAATTCATTTTTCAACCAAAAAAAATTAGGAAAATCTTTTGTTTCTTTTTGCTTGCATAGAACATCATCTCTATCTTACTATATAAAGCAAACATAAGAGGTAAATTTCACAAACTCCATGAACTATGGGGTGTCTCACGAAACCCCTACTAAAATCTCAATGTCTCCCAACAAGAGTCTTCAATAGCGTTAACGGGTTAACAAACACTTGTTTCCTACGCAATCAAAATAACAGGCAGCGACGCCATTAACACCGTAAGGTTGTATATTGGGAGAATACAGATAAAGAGGCGGGGCCATCGGCCCGGGAATCCCACATGCAACACACAATTCTCTCGGTAAATATTTGATAGAGAGGGTGAAACCAAACCTCTGATGAACCCACATTTTACGGCCTTTGCACTAGTCCGGTCCCGGTCGACATTGCGACATCCGCATCACCACCCGCACCGTTGACTTTGACTGAAAAGCATGAGGCTGAGTCTGACGCCACGTATCATATCAGAGACTTCAGTGAAGCTCGTCCCTGAAAACTAGTTATTGTTGGAGTTATAACTTAAAAACTTGGGTTTGTAGAGGAAAACTTTAGTCCCACATTGGAAAAGAGATGGGAAGATAGGCTCTTTATAAGCCTTCCCTTTCTCTCCTATGCCTAGAAGAAAACAAAGGTTATGCTCCACACCACACACGCGCGCGCCGGCCGGCTCGGGCTCGGGTTCGGGTCGGGTGGCGCGCGCACACGAATGCAGCTCCGGACTGAGGGGCTCTTAATCTGCTACATTTTTATTTTTGAATAATTAAAATATAATTTTTATTTTTGAACAATTAACATGTGATAAATATTTTGTAACAGAAATATTTCGTAACGGTAAAAATTTATTAGTGTGATTAAAAACGTGAAAAATATTTTGTGAATTTATTATGTAACGGAAGCGTTTTTTAATTTTATAACGGCTAAGCTTTATTAACGTGATTAAAACGTATTAACTACGAGTTTATGTAACGGCTGTTTAACCCTATAAAAGGACCAAAACCCGAATAGTTTTACACAGTGAAAAATCAACAGATCTCAAAACCCGAATAGTTTTACACAGTGAAAAACCCGAATAGTTTTACACAGTGAAAAATAGTTTTCTGTTTACGCTGGTTCCCTGAAAGTCTAGAAGAATTCGCAAAACCTTCTTGAAGCTCGTGCCGACGAGAAGGAGGTCGCCTGACCGAGGGTCGTTGTATCTCCGGGGACTTTTGCCGCGTAGCCCTGTACGAGAGGGGGCAATTAGTTTCTTGGGACAGTGCTTGCACGCCTCGACCATCAGGCCGTATTTCTAACCCTTATTTCTTTTTGTTTGAATTATTTCTTACATCTGCGTTACAATATTAATCCGTGATTATCTGTTAATTATTAAATTGCTTGAACTGATTTTCGTTATTGTCTAAACAGCTTATATTCCCATCAGTTATCATATGAAGGAAGGCCAAATTTGTAATTAACTTACCCTTGACTTCGATCACCTTTAGTCATTGCATAATTAATGGATCCCAAACACCTTGACTCCACTTTGTTATCTTAAAACACTTCTTACCAGTTTGGTATTTTAATTTCCAGCTCTGGCGACGTTTTATTATTTTTGTTAAAGCCAAATGTATAATTAGATCCACAACTTCGCCTCCCATGGAAAAAAAAAAACACGAGACTTCTTTTCGCCTAGTAGTTTTTAGCCTCCCAAGTTTTCTCTTCACTATATTTGGAGGTAATATAACGCCTTCCCCTTTTTGCCTCAAAATTACTTCCTTATAGTGGACTCAACATTCTTGCATAAGCTTGGGGCGTAGTTATTCCCCTTATATCAATGTGCCAAATAATCTTCTGATAATTTCCTTGTGAATATAAGATAGCACTTATAGCATCACATAAGGTTTCACAGTATTTCTTTATTGACAACGAAGTTTTGGTTCTAATTACACATTTGTTTTAGAAAAGATACCAAAAAGTTGTCAGGGTTCAAAAAAAAACTTAAACTGATAAGAGGGATATACAAAAAAATATCAGTCTAATAATTTAACCCTTTGATATGTTTCATTTATATTCTTGTTGATAAGCTGAAGAATTGGGTAAATGGAGTAGGCTCAATTCTTAGGGGCTGTTTGTTTGCCTAAAAAGAGGGAAATCAAAGAATAAGAAACCTATTTCTAAGAAAAATTGTTTTGAGATTGTTTGGTTGCCTAAAAAGAAGGAAATGAAAGAATGAGAGATGAGTTGTCACATTATTATTGGATGATGTGTGTGATTTTTTAAGAAAAAATGTTTTGAGGTTGTTTGGTTGGCTAAAAAAAGGAAATAAATTATAAGAAACATATTTACTGTAATATGTTCTTTTCTTGTGTTTGGTTCATTCATAAAAATAAGAAAATAGATGAGATGAGTTGTCATTATATTATTGGATGATGTGACCACACTTAAGAAAATCGATTTCCTAGCTTTTTTGGAGGAATTGAGTGGAAATAAAACGTTAATGAGATGAGATGAGTTGTCACCATATTATTGGATGATGTGAGTGATTTTTAAAAATGAGATGTGATGGAGATGTGATGAGTTGGATGATGTGACTCATTTCTTGTGTTTAGTTTATTTTTAAGAGATGATATGAGATGAGTTGTGAGATGAAAATAATATTTTATTAGATGTTGTGATGAGTTTTATGGATGAAAATGAATGAAAATAATATCTTATTGATTTCCATGTACCTTTTTCCTTTTCTTGATTTTTAGGAAACCAGCCAAACAGCCCCTAGAATAAATAGGAAATTGTTGCTTAAGCCCAAGAAAGTAGTGTTCTTCACAATCACATATTACGATTTATCTTGATTTTGAAGTAGAAATAGAGTGCAACAGACATGATGACAGTTACATCTGGATTTAATCACAATTGTCTAAGTACGTATTAAATGAACAATTGAAGGTAAACTCTCATGTACGAGATCTATATTGAATTTGCACTAGTCAATGTAAGTTTTAGTACCAAAAAAGAGACATTTGTGTTGAATCCGAGATGCAAGCTAAATGGGGGATGAATAGGATTGCTATCTTTTTTTAATATATAAACACAGAATATACAGCAAAATATAGCAAATAAAAGCGATAAACAATATAAAGTAATATAAATATCACAAACACAACCAACCAAGGAACGCATGAGGTTTTACAGTGGTGTGGATAAACAATCCTACATACATTCTTCCTTCTCGCGAAGAGGTTTACTCACTATGAAAAAAGTTCACCTGAATCACAAATCCGATTTAGTAGGCTTCTTGTTAGGATATGTGAAGCCTAACTATCAGACATGCCCTATACTTCAGATTGAAGAGGAAACAGAAGAAGTTGGAGGAACAGGGTCAACGACGAAAAAGTTCAAGAAAAAACGACGAGGATTCAGTTCGGCAGATTCACGGTTGACCGCAGGTGGCGCGCGATAGATCGCAAACGTGTACAAGACTTAGGATGGCTTCTGGATTTTCTGCGGTCGACTGCGACGGTCGACCGGGTTGGTCTCTGGACTTTCGACGGTCGACCGCGACGGTTGACCGCAATACCTACCCTATAAATATTTTCTGTTCTCTGTCGTTCGTCGCAGTCAACCGCCACGGTCGACCACGAATCGGGTTTTGGCCCAGGTTTGGTTTTTTGACCTGTTTTAGTTTTCTGTTTGTAATACCCTTATGATATTAAAGGGATGATTAGGGTAAATTGTAATAGAGACGAAAATAGTGAAATTTTCTTTTGCGAAGACCGTAGACGTAGCTTCTCACATTGAGAAGTGAACAACGTAAAATCTTGTGTGTTTGTGATTGTTTTCTTTCTCTCTTATCTCTATTTCCAAATCACATTAGGGGTTTGATCTCAAAAACCCAACAAGTGGTATCAGAGCTGCCAGGTTCGGCGCCAGCGATTTGAGGTCGGAGACATGGGATCTGAGAAGGAGACATCCAAGATTAAGAAGTTTGATGGGATAAATTTTGGATTCTGAAAGATGCAGATGGAGGATTACCTCTATCAGACGGATTTATACCCGCCACTGGGAGAGAAGCCGACAGATATGAAGGATGCGGAGTGGAAGCTATTGGATCGAAAGGCTCTTGGAGCGATTAGGTTGACCTTGTCGAAATCTGTAGCGTTCAACATCAAGAATAAGAATACGACGGCGGATCTCATGGCGGCATTGTCCAGTATGTATGAACAGCCCTCTGCGGCGAACAAGATACATCTCATTAAAAAGTTGTTTAATTTGAGGATGTCCGAGAGCCAGAAATTCAAGGAACACCTGAATAAGTTTAATGAGATCACGGTTCAACTAAACTCCGTCAATATCCAATTTGATGATGAAATCCAAGCCCTCTTGATACTTGGTCAATTACCTGACAGTTGGAAGGGTACCGTTATTTCGATTAGCGGGTCATGTGAAAAATCAAAACTGAAGTTCTCAGAAGTGGTAGACATGATTATGACTGAGGAGATTAGTAGGCAAGAGGAATGAATTTCTAATTCAGGGTCGGCATTGAACTTTGAGAGCAGAGGCAGAAACAAAAACAGAAATAGAGGGAATAGCCATGGAAGATCTAATTCGAGGAACGGCAAATCAAAGTCCAAAAATCACAAAAGCAAGAAGGAGATTGATTGTTGGAATTGTGGCTAGTTTGGCCACTATGAGAATCAGTGCAGAGAACCCAAGAAGGACAAGGAGAACAAGACTGAAGCAAACGTCGCCTCAGGAGAATCAGATGATGCCCTTATTTGCTCGTTGGAGAGCAAGACAGAAT